CGAACTGATCATAGTTTTAAACATCATATTCTTCGACAGAGGATATTTGAAGGCCAAATTGTTATGGGTGTCAAACAATTTTAAAACTCCATCTTTCATGACAACTGAGAGACCTTTTTAGACTAGTTGTCCAACACTTAGCAGATTGCACTTCATTCCAAGTACATAGAGTACATCTTTGATCACAACTTTCCCTCCATTGCTCATTTGAAAAATTATGTTGCCAGTACCTTCTGCTTGCAACAAACTATTATCAACAAGTTTTACCTTGCTCGTCTTTAACTCGTCGAAATCTTCCAACCACACCTTTTGACCAGTCATGTGATTCAAACAACCTGAGTCAAGGAATCAGATCTTAGATTTGACATGGTTATCTGCTACTGCAGCCATAACCACCATACCTTCATAATCATCTGAGTCTTGGCATGCAAGGTTCGCTCCTTCTTCCTTTCATGTCGATCTCTTGTCTTTCCTATACCAACAATTCTTGGCCAAATAACCTCACTTTTCACAATTATAACACTGCATACCTTTCTTATCTTCTTTGTCATTTCGATAGTTTCCTCCTCCTCTTTTCAAGGATTCAAAAGATCTATCTTCTACCCGGTGCTTGTGAGGGTTCGACCAAGACTTCTTTCCCAGAGTCTTGTTGACTTTGCCTTTGAATTTGTTAGAATCATCATTCCTTTTCCATGACTAAACTTGCAGTGCTTACATCGAGTCTTGAACTCCTTTCCTTTCGATAATCCTAATCTCATGCGCTTCCAACAAACCAACCAAATCTTCCAGTTTTAGGGTTTCAAGTTGATTGGATTCTTGAATAGCTACGATGACGTGATCAAAGTTAGAGGTCAATGTTCACATTAGCTTCTCAACTATCATCTTATCAGTTATGATTTCACCACAACCCTTCGTAAGATGGACGAGTTTCTGGACCTTCGGCACATATTCTGCAAATTTTTCATCTTCTCCTATTGACAACAATTCATATTGTCGATGCAAGGTCTGCAACTTGGCAATCTTGAATTTCTCACCTTCTTCATAATACTTGACCAAAATATTTCATGCCTTCTTCGTCGTTTTAGTATGAGAGGTTCTGTCAAAGTTAGCAGCATTGACCATCGTCTGAATGCAATAAGCAGTCTTGCAATCTTTCTTCTTGACTTTGTTGCAAGCAGTTTTCTGTGCTTCGGTTGCATCTGCAGCCAACGCATGAACACCGTTGGTAACCACTTCTAGGGTATCATGGAAGCCAAACAAGGATTGCATCTGTTTTTTCTATTAGGTCTAATTTTTACTGTCAAGTATTGGAAGAGAATTCAGAATGCCCTTATCACCAGTCATCTTCATAGCGGTTGATTCACTTGTCCTGAAAACACGATCTCTGACGTGAAGTTCTTGAAATCACGATCAAGAATAATAACCAGGCTCTGATACCAATTTGTTATTGCGATAGACACTTTTAGTGAGGAGAGAAAGAGAGAATAATAAGGAAATAAGGATTATATTATTCACTTGAATTGTACAAATAATGAAACAAACTATGACTATTTATATATAATTCTAATTGAGCTTAGATTTACCAACTTGAATTATATTTGATATTATATCTAATATCTCAATATATCCAACTTGAATTATATTTGATATTTTATCTAATATCTCAACAAACACTAATAATTCTCCAACCTCTAAAGATTAAGTGCGGAGTAGTCAAAGTGGCGTCGCACCATTGAGGCCATAGGCATCATCAGTGAGAATGATCATTTGGATCCGAGGAGGATATGAGAGCATCCATCAAATTTAAAGAGAAATAAAGAGAAAATATATAGAGAGAAAATGTCAAAGTTCAAACACCACCTTATGATATATAGTAAATGATTGCCATTATGAAAATTAAATATTTTAATTGATGTTATTTTAATATTTGTAATTAACAAATTTGAGTTAGAAGGATTTAAGCTGTTGTTTCATGATTCAACATTTCGTGAAAATATTTTTTTATTATATAAACTTGTAAGAAAATTATTTATAATAATAAATTATTTACTTTTATAAAAAAAATTAAATATATTTTTTATTTCTTTATTTTATTATATTTTTTAAATTTTAATCACTATATTTTAAAACCCAATTTTTTAATCACCTTATAAACAATTTATAGATATTTTTTGTCTCAATCAAATTTACAAAATTGACATATTATTTTTATCCGCGACGGAATAAATTATTGATATTTTGACGTTAATTAAGCCAAATTTAATATGTCACTTAATTAAAATTAAAATATAAAATAATATTAAAATAATGTAGCTTAAATTAATTTAGAAATTTTTTTCTCACTTTTACACCTTCTTAGCCACCTTTGAGGAAATTATTTTTTATTCTTAGAATTTAAAGATATATCTCCGAACGTACCAGAGTTTATTTTTTGAGATAATTTCGAAAATGTATTTTTGAAGTTACGAAATTTCACTTTTTTCTAGGGGGATTTCGGAAATGTACTACCGAAGTTACGAAATTTCATTTTTTTTGAGTGAATTCGGAGACGTATTTCCGAAGATACCCAATACTATATTTCGGATGTACATTTTCGAAATAGATACTGAATGATTTCAGCAAAACAGAAATCTTGAAACAAAAAACTATGTAGATATAACATATATATTGAAACATTGATATTACATAAACAATAACATAAATTTAACATTGAAAGTCGAAATTACATAGATATTGAAATATAAATTTAACATTACATGTTGTTATAAATAGGTAACTGAGGACGTCGCAACATTTTGATAACATCTTCACCGGATCTCTGAATCTTTGCATCTAATTCAATTGGATCCTTAGTAGAATATCAGCGAAAAATACTCCATATATAGAATATTTGAAACAATTTGGTCCAAAGAATTCTTATTTGTGTCAAGGCATATTTCAGAAATACACTTCCGAAACAACTTCGAAAGTACACTTCCAAAATATTCTCTGATTGTTTTTTTTATTTATAAATTTCGTAAAGGTATTTCCGAATTATGCAAAGACATAACTCTATCTTGGGTATTTTCAGAAGTGCATTTCTGAACTCATCCCAAAATTTATTGTTTTGAGTGTTTTCGGAGATGCATTTCCAAAACACCTTAATTTAGGGTGTGTTCAGAGATACATCTCTGAAGGATATTTTCAGATTTTCAGAATATTTTTTTCCATCCTAAGAGGTGTACAAAGATATTCTCTTAAAGTTTTGGTTCTCTTATTTTGGCCAACTCATGAAATCAGTCTCGTATTTATTTTTTCAACAATCTTGGTCTACATGTCTATTTTTTTATCCAAAAAATGCTATTGTGTACTATTTTTTAGATACATGGCATAGTTTTATTGACTTTGCATAAGAAAGAATAATTATTTATTATTTTCTCGACGGTATTTTATTCCTTTTATCGTCTTCTCTGATCGTTTTCTTCATCTTCTTTCTCTCCCATCTTGTTCATTTGACTTATTCGTTCACTAAAAAAATACTTTATACATTCTCACTCGTTCAAAAAGTATGCCACCTATATAAAAAATGATACATCAACATTTTTTAGATGAAAAATTGACATGAAAATCAAAACTATTTAAAAAATGAATAGAATGACTGATTTTGTGAATTGGCCAAAATTAAGAGACCAAAATTATAATTTAACCAATAATATATTATAGTGGGTGGGGTTTGGGCATCTCAATTGATAAGTGTCAGCTAGGTTAAGTGAATGTAAACATTTGATTTATAATTCAATCTTTGACAACATAATTTATTTATGTTTATTATTGATTTAAACAATTTGTTATTTTTAATTCAACTAATTTTTTAAGTAAAAATATAACTAAAATAATTTATATAACTACAGTAAATTTATTTGATATTTTTTCAAATATAATATTAATTAAAATAATCTATCTAATTAAATTTAATATTTTATAATTTAAAAAATAAATTTATTAATTAAAAGAGAAAATAGATGATATATAATTAGTGTAAAATAATTTATACTGACATGTAATAATCCTCATGTATTTCAATAAATCACAAAAATATTTATATAACATGAAGATTGATGATTTTTTTGTTGTCAATATATCCATTAAAATCTATTTTAAATTTAAATAACAAACAAAAAGTCAAAACTTCATTAAAAATTGAAACTTATTAAAATATAAGTAACATCCCGAAAAATTATAAAACATCAAATCTTTAAAAAGAATAACCTTATAGAAAAATTCAACATCATTAAATTGGAGAAACCACAAAGTACCAATGACATTATTTAATAACATAAGTCCCATAATTAAATAAAAATTACTGTACAAAATTGAATAAAAGACCAAAAACACTAAATTTTAAAACTGAAAATTAAAACAAAAATTATAGGTGTAAAAAAATACTTTAGTTTAAAATAAAAAATACACCTATAATATTTTTTCAAAAAATATTTTTTTACATAGCTCAAAAACAAAATACTTTATAGTAATATTAGTATAAACTACATTGCTGTTGTATTTTATTTTATTTTAAAAATAATTAATAAATTAAAAGATTAATATATTAATTATATAAAATAGTTTTATATTATTATTTAAAGAAAATATATTATTTAAATATATTATATAATTTATTTATAAATAATAATATAATTTAGCACGTAAAATAATTGTAATCGATTGAAAATGAAAAATGAACTTTATTCTCATAAATAATTAATTAGTTATATGCTTTGTCATCATTTCATGAAAGGAAACTTCACAATCAGTCTCAAATTCAACCTAAATGCACTCCAAATTAACTCCAAACCCAAAATAACCAAACCTCATTTGTCATCTTCTCTCTCTTCCCAATCCATTATCAACACCTCACGGTGTGTTCTGCGTGAAAGCTTGTCTTTTTTCTTTTCTTTTCTTCTCCCTAATTTACCCTCAAATTATTCCAATAAAATTTCCATTTCATTTCAACTTTTAACTAAATGAATCTCTGGAGCGACGATAACTCTTCAGTCATGGAGGCTTTCATGACCTCCTCTGATTTATCCACCTTATGGCCACTGGCGCCGCCGTCGCAGCCACCACAAACAGCCACCGGATTCAACCAAGACACGCTGCAGCAAAGACTTCAAGCTTTGATAGAAGGCGCATCGGAGCTCTGGACCTACGCTATCTTCTGGCAACCGTCTTATGACTATTCAGGCTCTTCTCTTCTCGGTTGGGGTGACGGTTACTACAAAGGAGAAGAAGATAAAACAAAAGCGAAATCAAAGTCGAAATCTAAAGCCTCTTCACCAGCTGAACAAGAACACCGGAGAAAAGTTCTCAGAGAACTTAATTCTTTAATCTCCGGTAATCCGGTCACCGACGAATCCGCCGTCGATGAGGAAGTAACGGATACCGAATGGTTCTTTTTAGTTTCTATGACGCAGTCTTTTGTCAACGGCGGCGGACTTCCCGGACAGGCTTACTTTAACTCAACTCCGGTGTGGTTGGTCGGCGGGGAGAGTCTATCCATCTCGGCGTGCGAGAGAGCGAGACAGGGTCAGGAATACGGTTTACAGACGCTGGCGTGTATACCGTCGGCGAACGGTGTTTTGGAGCTTGGATCTACGGAGTTGATTTATCAAAACAGTGATTTGATGAATAAAGTGAAGATGCTTTTCAATTTCAATAATAGCTTTGAGTTTGGATCTTCTTGGCAGTTAGGTAATTCTAATTCTGCTGCAATTGCTCATCAAGGTGAAAATGATCCTTCTTCGATTTGGCTTAACGATGCTGAAGCTAGAGATTCGGTTGATAATAATTCTCTTGTTGCAACAACAACAAACACTTCAGTTTCAAATCCAAGTCACCAACACCAACCTCAGAACAATAACAATAATCAGAGTTTGAGTGTGAGTGTTACAAAGACTATACAATTTGAAACTCATGGTTCAAGTACTGTGACAGAAGTTCCTAGTGTTGTTCATGTATCAAGCAAGCAGAATAATCAAAGTTTCTTTAATAAGGAAATGATTCTTTCTGAATATGGTGGGAGTAATAATCAGCAACGTTCTTTGAAGCCGGAATCCGGTGAGATTCTGAGCTTCGGAGGCGAGAGTAATAAGAGTTCTTATGTTGCTAATAATGGAAATTCAAATTCGAATTTCTTCTCGGGTCAATCACATATAGTTTCAGTGGCTGAGGAAAACCATAACAACAACATCAACAATGGAAACGGAAAGAGGAGATCGCCGAATTCGAGAGGAAGCAATAACGATGATGGAATGTTATCTTTTACTTCTGGTGTAATTGTTCCACCGGCAGCGTCGAATTTGAAATTCTCTGGTGGTACTGGTTGTGGTGATTCAGACCATTCGGATCTGGAGGCTTCGGTGGTGAAGGAGGTGGATAGCAGTCGTGTGGTGGAGCCGGAAAAGAAGCCGAGGAAGAGAGGAAGGAAACCGGCAAATGGAAGAGAAGAACCGTTGAATCATGTTGAAGCTGAGAGACAAAGAAGAGAGAAGCTGAATCAGAGATTCTATGCACTTCGTGCAGTTGTGCCTAATGTTTCAAAGATGGATAAAGCTTCACTTTTGGGAGATGCTATATCTTACATTACTGAACTGAAAACAAAGCTTCAGAAAACAGAATCTGATAAAGATGGATTGGAAAAACAACTTGAGGAAGTGAAGAGTGAGCTTCAGAAAATCAATGAAAACTCGTCTCATCCGCCACCCGCACCACCACAACAACAGCAACAACCAGTATCCAAAAAGCCATCACCTTCCAATCAAGCCTTAATTGATTTGGATATCGACGTCAAGATTATAGGGTGGGATGCAATGATTAGGATCCAATGCAGTAAGAAAAACCACCCCGCAGCAAGATTGATGGCGGCGTTGATGGAGCTTGACCTAGAAGTGCACCATGCTAGTGTGTCTGTGGTGAATGACTTGATGATACAACAAGCAACTGTGAAGATGGGGAGTCGATTTTACACCCAAGAGCAGCTTCGGGCAGCATTGTCCTCTAAAGTTGGGGATGTTCAATAAAGTATGCAAATTTGCTGCAATGAGAGAAATTTACCGGGAATGTTATGTCTTTGAATTTCCCACTCCTCCAAAATTGTGGGGTTCTGGGATATTTATGGATTCCCGGTGCCATCTCTGTAAACTAGTAGTGTCTTTGTTTTTGGTAGCTTAGTATGAATTTTGAGGTAATTTAATTTGACAAGTTATATGGGAATGGGGTACTTGAACTAGAATATGCTAGGGACAGTTTTCTCACTGTCATAGATTTAGATTTGATGAAGTAAGTAAAAACTAAGTCTATTTTCATATGTAATATTGTGCATCTGTGCCCTTGTGTGTATATATGTGTATGTATCTTTCTCATAAATGGGTAGCATGTTATTTTTCAGCTTATCATCCATTGAGTTGTACTCAGTGAGCTCGTATGTTGGATTCATTTATGTGATTTTGCTTGTTCTTCAATATGTACAATTGCACTTGCACTTCCTACCTCCATGTAGGATTGAATTGTTGGTTAATCATAGGATAAACTATGTTTTTCAATCTCTATCGTGTATTGGCTGTTTAATCATAGAAAAAATTGGTAGTTGTTTGAGCCATGTCAAAAACATGCATATGAATAGAAACATACACCATGTTTTCTTCTCTATCTTTTATGTTAGTGGTGATTGATTCCTTTTGAGTGTCTTTTGTCTATGAGTTGAATTTGCTATGATTTTCTGCTTTTCTTTTTACTATTGCTAACCAGTAAAGTTACGACCCTACAAGTACAGTACCAACTTTGATAATGAAATTATCTTCCTAAATGCATGGTGAGATGTAGAAAGAAACAGTGTATTGAATTGATTACAAGTGTAGTTCAAACTTGTCTCTGTACAAGGCTATAACTTGTATATATATATACGTGTTTATGGAATATGAATCATTGCTAGTGCAAGCATTTTGCAATTGTAAAAAGACCCAAAAGGGTCAAGATTAGTCTCTAACGGAAGCTGGTTTTGATGAATTTACCAAACTTTATCTACTCATGTCATATGGAGTACTTATCTAAAAAAGGTAGAGTAATGGAGACTTTTACTGTGTTATTGCTTTTGATAGTATTTCACATGTGGGTGTATAATAAAAAAAGTAATAAGCCTAAAGATTTGTAATTACAATAATGATAGTGATTTGACCCTTTGCTTGAATTGGGGGGTGAGTTATGAAATTCACTTTTTCTTTTCATTTCCTAAGAAAGTGATTAGATGTTGAAAGGTTTTGAGTGCCAGCCTAATGCATGAACACAATGATAGTAGGAATTCAAGCCTAAATTATCCATCCGGCATTGACCAAACAAACACCCTGGATGCATGTTACAGCACCAGGCGATGAAGAAAACCGAAAAAGGGATATGAGATGCATCCTAACTTCCATGACATGAATCATGTTTTTTTTCCTTCCTTTTCTAATCAGGTTTAAATCGATTTTGAGGGGAAAAAATAATTTATAGGTTTGACAAAATATTTATGTATTTTGTATTTGAACCTAATGATCATGTGAACAAGATATTTATGTATTTTGTATTTGAACCTAAATCCATCTATTAATTTTTGTCTCTTAAAATCTAAGGCATTGATTTAAATTCTATGGTTATTATTAAAAATTCTCAATTCTCATATTAATAAAGTTTTTGTTTGATACATCTCATATATATATATATATATATATATATATATATATATATATATATATATATATATATATATATATATATATATATATATATATATATATATATAACTCAAAAAGTTGGATAAAGTTATCAAATTGTAAAATACATTGAAAACAATATATAATTGTACCATTTAATGAATAATTAAATATGTTAAAAGTTGAATTATATCACGTGATTGGTTGAAGATACACTATTCAACTTTTTATGATGAGTATAAAAATTGTCATATATATATATATATATATATATATATATATATATATATATATATATATATATATATATATATATATATATATATATATATATATATATATATATATATATATATATATATATATATATATATATATATATATATATATATATATATATATATATATATATATATATATATATATATATATATATTGATCTTACTGGTTAATCAGAAAGTGGATCGAAGGATGACGTCTGCTTGGATGGAAGGATGAAGAACGAAGGGAAGTGTACCTGCAAGGCACTCCGAAGATCTAAGGAGAAAGAGTGCAAAGAGATACAAGAAAATTATTAGGGTTTTTAGAATGAATATCAGATACCTGAGCCTCACAAGTGTGAGGGTTTATATAATGCTCTCAACGCGTAGCCATTGGTTCCTATTTTTGGACTTAAATATTAGGTTCTTCAAAAATAGGTAACTGCCATGGCTTGGTCAAAACGGACGGTCGTGCCCGTAACTAGTCGTTGCTCCGAGCAACGATGAGACGACAGTTGTAACGCCCGTAATTTAATTAATTATTTAATTAAATTATTTTTGGAATATTTGTGAAGTTGTATTATGATGATAATTGATGTGTGGTGGTTATTGGATTTATTTTATTAAGTTGTGGAATAATATTAGAATGATAGTATTATTTGATGTGGGCTTGTTTTAGAGGATAGAAGTAGAAAAGGGGATGTAGGAGTTTTAAGCCCATTAAGGCATTTTGAGAATTATAGGGTTATTTTATTATTGTTAGAAATAATAAGGAAAAAGAAGAAGCAGTAAGAGAGAAGGAAATAAGGGTTGGAAGAAGAGAAAGAGAACGTGAAAGTTGCAGAAAATGAGGAAAAGAGGCAGAACGAAATTCAATTGGAAAAGTTATAGAGCAACCTTCAATCCAAGATAAGTGTGGGGTTCTGACTCTATAATAGGGTTTATGATGATTGGTATGTGGGATTAGATGTGAAAGATTATTTGGTTTATGATTGAATTATATACATTGTTGTATGATGAAAATCGATGATTTAAGGATAGATAACGATGCCCTAATGTTGTATAAATAATGTAGAATTATAGGATAATTATAATTAATGATTACCTATGATTAGAGGATGTTTTTAGGGCCTAAAGCCAGAAAATATTCATGACAAAACCGTATGTGTCGACCCCACAAGCCATGCGCCGATGCATGAAGGCTTTTAGACTCAGGATGAGTCGATACGAATGAGCCATGCATCAATACATGCATGCTTTTAGACTCAGGATGAGTCGATATATAGGATCACGTATCGATACATGCAGTGTTGCAGACTCAGTATGAGTCGATACGAAGGGAGTACACATCGATACATGCAGCGTGTTAAGCCCAGTATGCATCGACTAAAGACGTTATGCGTCGGCCCATGTAGTCTGGTTTATGACATATTCGTTTTCCAGAGGCTGTAACTTGAGTTTCCGGACTCCGTTTGAAGTATCGTTCGAAGTGTTGAATAGCTAACGCGATGAACTTCATTCTTAAGGATTAAAATGAAGAATAGGAAGGATAATCCTAGTAACCCAATTTAGGACTATGTGATACGGTGGGAGAACTGACTTGAGGTTTGCGTTTGTATTCGCAAATGTTGCGGTTAGCAAGAGTCGCCACCGGCTTTTTATTTTATCCTAAGGAAAGGTTAAAAAGCACAGCAAAAACCTTTTGAGATGTTTTCTTGGGTTCGGGGAGTAGATTATAGAAAGGGAAGGTATTAGCACCCTTTCTATCCATGGTTATCCATGGGCTCTTAGTTACTTGCTTAGATCACTTGCCTTTTGTTTTCAATTGTTTTAAATGGTGCTTGAGTGTGTGGGTTTGAAAAGGTTTTGAAAAGAGGCCAATGTGGTGGCAACCTTTGTAATGATCCATGTTGGGATGTTGTTTCCAGTGATTTCTGGTAAACAACCGCTAGTCTTCCAAACTATCGAATAATCTTTATTAACGCTACTCAATCTCTTTGGTAACTCACAGGATCGACTAGATTGATCCTAGGACTCCTTGGATATCAAGGTTACTCTCACAATCGAACAGTTATTCATGGGTGCTATTGTATAAATGTTTGGTTTATTTCGATCCCTCTCTCTAAGAGTTTAAGAATGTGGTCAAAATGTATGTGAAAACTAAGTTGTACGAATGATTGCTAATTGTGATGCTGATTGAAAAGACATATAAAACTGTATGGAAAATGAAGTAACTGGTTTCGATCCATAAAACATTTAACACAAAAGGTTTCTGGAATGTGGAAGTTTAAAATGTGAAGAAAGCGTTTAATGCAAGAAATCTAGAAAAAGAGTTTAAGTGAAAGTACATGTTTGAAGAATAATACTTGAAAGTAAAGACATTGAAAGCGTAAAAGTTCTCTGAAATATAAAGTGCTTCGAAGTATAAAGAATGCAGTAAAATGTAAAACTTTGAAGAAAAGACTTTGAAATGAAAAGACAGTAGATAAAGAAACTTGTAAATGTTATTCGACAGAAAGAAAAAGAAGGAAAGTGCTGGAAATAGTAGAAAGGCTTTTATTAAATTAAAAATACATGGTGCTATCATACATACATCTCTCTTGCATTCGTTTCCCTTGCCATGTGGTAGTTTGAATGTTATTGAGTATTTTGTATAACAGATATGACACACTGAAATCCTAACACTAAGACTTCTATTTATACTAATTCGACCCTAACGGTCTCGCTACAAGATCATGCCACGTTTCGAACATGCAAGACAATGCTCCTTTCATCTTTCCACGTGTCCTCAAATGCTCCAACACATAACTTTCAAACTTTGAAAGTCCCGCTTTCATTTAAATTTCACATGCCTTGGTGTTTCTCTGCTTCGAACGCTCTTCTTAGACTTAGCTTCGCTGCTGTTTCGAGATCCCTTTGGATGCGCTCCCAAGATCACCGTTCGAAGCTTCAAGCTTTGACACACTCATTCGAAACACTGCTTCTGCAATTTCGAAGCGTGGTGTTTTAATTCCATTTCGATCAGAACTTCTAGCTCTTTTTAAATTCTAAATAACATTATCAAAATCTTCA